TCACTCCTGAAGAATAATCATTGTTGATCCCCTCTGCCCAGTGCACATTCCTGAATCAGAATGATTGTTGATCCTCCTTGCCCGGTGCACATAGCATTTTTCAAGTGAAGTGCCCCTCCCGGGGCTCGCACCCTGTTTTTTTGCAGGGGGAAGTCTTGAGCCTCAAGCTGCGCCCCCGGCCCCCGAGTTACAACAGCAACGACTCCCTCCTGATACGTCCTCGCAGTTTGTTGTAAAATCAAGCTCTCGCGCGGGGCGTCATCCTAATTTATACAGGAATCGCGCTCTCGCGTGGGACTTCACCGCCAATTAGTCAGACGCCGCGCGTTGACACTCAGGAATCACGCTCTCCCTGTGGATGTCCAACCGAGTTATTTGGGAATCGCGCTATCGCTATGGAGACTTCCTCGCGATTCTTGCAGGACGCACGCTTCAGCAATCCGCCTGCTCGACCTGGCTGCCTGGGCCCGCCTTCCCGACCCGCCAGTTAGGGTCTACCCGCCCGATCTGCACGTCTGGTTCTGCCACGTGTTTTCTGTTCCGAGCCCCCATCCTGCCACTCTCGCTCGTGCTCCATCCTCCTCCCCCTTGTCCCTTCCTTCGATTCGTCCTCTCTTCTCCTGCCTTCGGGGCTGCCCGAAATACACGCTGCAGTTAACAAAGATATATTCCCCCAAGGGGGGTACGATCGAAGACGAAGAGGGCGGGTATCGGGATCTACGTGTTCGCTGGCCCTCGAGCAGATAAGAGCGACCAAATGATGGTTGTTTTTTTTGTTGTTGTTGCTTACATGTGCGAAGGTATCCACACATTAAAGCATGTGACAGGCACCGTATTGATACATGCACACACTATGATACACATTCCAAACACACAGAGCAACTTATCATATGAATGCCGTGTTGCACCTCTACTCTCTCTCTCTCTCTTCCTCTCTCTCTCTCCCTCTCTTCCTCTCTCTCCATCCCTCTCTCTATATCCATCTCTCTCTCTGTTTCTCTGGTTATTTCTTTCTTTCTCTCTCCTTCTCTCTTTACTTGTGCATTCTTTATATACCAATACGTTGGATGGGTGGGTGTGTGTGGGGGTGGGTGGGGGGGGCGAGACTGCTGCCTCCAGGTCCCCGTGGCTGGAATGGGCGGCCCTGGCGGCCCCAAGGCCGGTCCGGGAGACTCCGATCGTGCCCGGGTGCTAGGCTGCTGTCGCCCGGCAGCCTGAGGGCCCCAGATACCCCAGGAGACCCGAAAGAGTCCTCCTGAGTTGTCTCGGGCCAGACGAAAGGGGGGGATTGGGAAAGGGGGGGTTGCGAAGTTTGCTGCATGCAGCTGGTTTCGGCCCCACCGAGAGGCACACTCCTCGATACATGGGCGCCTCCCGGCGCCGGGAGGCGCCGGGAAAATCAGCTACGTGGGCTGATTCTCAAACCCCTCCCCTTTGCTATCCCCCCCTTTCGCCCGGCCCGAGTTGTCCGAGGGCTGCTCAAGAGTCCAGAAGGCGGCTCGAGATGATTCGGAGCGGCTCCCTGGAGCTCACAAGACCGGGATCACGATGCTCGAAGAGACCTCCAGAGCGTCCGAACAGGTAAATACAGTTTGACTTCCATTTCGTTTCTTGAACGACCTTCGTGCTCTTCCCTCTTCGGAGGTCCGACAGCCCAAGAAGGCCCCAGAGGCTCCCCAGATCGCCTCAATCTGGCTCAACATGCCCCCAAGAGGGCGGGCCCCAGGACGGCCCCCAAAGTGCGCCAGGTGGGCTCCAAGGCAGGCCCAACAGTGCGCCAAGAGGGTCCCACATCCTCCTGTCTCTCCTTCTGTCTCCTTCCCCCCTTCATCCTTCTCACTCTGCCTCCCTCTCTCTCTCTCTCTTTCTCGTGCTTGTCTTTGTTGCTCCTACCTCTTCCTCTCTCACTCTCCGCCTCCTTCGGCTCCTCTCCTCCTCTCTGTCTCACGCCTTTTTCCTCCACCGTCCCGATGATCGCGCGCCGTGCTGGGACGCACGGGCCGCCGCAGGCAACCGCTCCACACAAAAGGCCGCTGCCGGCGACTGGGCAACTCTGCGCCGGCCACGGGCCCTGGCGAGGCGCCCAGCCAGCGGCAACCCCCCCCCTCTCACGTGCGGCCACACGCAGCCACGGAGCCAGGCCGCCACGCGCGACACCGAACCAGGGACCGCCGCAGGTCAGCGAGCGAAGAACGGTGTAACATAAACTTTTTCGCCGTCGGGGACACCTGCCCCTGGGCGGCTGGAAAGCTTGCACCCCTACGGTGCCACCGTAAGGGTATATAGATTTTCCAGCCGCCCTGGGACAGGCGCCCCCGACAGCGAAAGAGTTTGTTTTACACCGTTCTTCGCCCGTTACACAGGGAGCGCAGCACGGGTGCCTAAACTTCCAGAGGCAGCGCAGCGGCGCCACCACAAGCACGTGCGTCAGCGTCGGGCTGGCTGCAGCTTCGTGCGCAAGAAGCGGCGCTTACCGATGTTTTGTTCGGTCAGGTCCGCGTTTATATGGTGGCTCTGAGATGCCCTGTGGTCGGAGAGGAACAACAACGCCATGACCAACTTCTGGCGCTTTTTCCTTCTTCTAGTTGGGCCTCACTGAGGTCCCAAGGCGGTCTGAAGTGTGTGTGTGTGTGTGTGTGTGTGTGTTTGTGTGTGTAGCACTTGGCCGCCAATACGGCACGATGGTTCCTCAGGAGCCGCCCAAGGCAGGCAGGCGGTCCAAGAGGCTTCGAAGACGACCCACGAGATCCCAGGAAGAGCCGAGAGGCTCACGAGAGGCGCCAATAGAAAGGCTCCTCCAGGAGAGCGGCGGCGAGCGATCTTTGGGGGGGAGAGCCGAGCAGGAGCAGGTCTTCTCAGAAGGCTCGGAAGTCCTCAAACACAGCAATCAATAAACATAAACAATATTATCACGAATACTAATGATAATAATAATCATGATAATAATCATAATAATAAAAATAAGAATAATAAGACGAATACTACTAATAATAATAAGACTACTAAGACTATCAATAATAATGATAATAATACTAATAATACTATCAATCATACTTTTAATACTAATAGTGATAATACTAAATAAATAAATACATACATACATGCATCAATCAATACATAAATACATAAGCAACTCAACACATACATACATAATAATCAAATGAATAAATAATTAAATAAACAAATAAATACATAAATACATAAATCAATAAATACATAAATAAATACATAAATAAATAAATGAATAAATACATACATAACTACATAAATGACTACATAATTAAATACATATATAAACCAATACATAAATACATACATAATCAAGTCCATAACTATATAGATAGATAAATAGATAAATAAATACATAAATCAATAACTACAGATAAACCAAAACAACGACAAACACATACAATGATAAAAAGGCTCGGAAATCCTCCAGCCTTCTGGGGAGCTCTCCAGGCCATCCTAGGAGGCGCGGAACATCATCTCTCCAGAGGCGCGAGGCCCTCTGCTGAGAAGCCCCGCCGCCTGCCGAGGAAAGGCCTTCCCCTCCTCGCCTCCCGCCCCCCCTCCTCTCCTCCTCCTCCTCCTCCTCCTCCTCCTCCTCCCTCCTCCTCCTCCTCCTCCTCCCCCCTCCTCCTCCTCCTCCCTCCTCCTCCTCCTCCTCCTCCCCCCTCCTCCTCCTCCTCCTCCTCCTCCTCCTCCTCCTCCTCCTCGCTTCCTCCCCCCCCCTCCCTCTCAGAGGGCTCGCTGCCAGCTCGGGCGCGAGCGGACTCCCGGGCTGTTCTTGACGAGCGAACAACTCACACCCATACCCATATGAGGGTCGAAAGGAGGGGAACTGGCTATGGGTATGGGTGCGAGTTGTCGGACCAGCTCCCGTTCGAGCAGGGACCCCCATCCGACAACACGCACCCATAGCCTCCTCCGTCCCCCCTATGGGTATGGGTGCGTGTTGTTCGATCGTCATGTCTGTTTTTCTCCGCACGACTCGCACGTGAATCCAGCCGTCGCTGCTTCCAGCTTCCTGGCAGGTGCTCCCTCCTCTCGGGATCGGGGAGACCTCGTCTGGAGGAGACCGGACGCGGCCCTTTGTCGCCTCTCTTGGTGCGGGCGGCCTGCGACCAAGGCGCGAGCTAGGAGCCTTCGCTGCCACAGGAGCCTTCGGTGAAACTTCCCATGGGGTGGTCATGGACTGGGTGATGGGTGTGCCGAGGTGGGCTGGGGGACGCATGCGAACGCTGCTACAGGAGCCTTTGGCCGTTTTGGCGATCTCGTGGACCGCTTCCGTTTTGGCTCCGTCCTGCAGCAAAGGCAGAACGAAGGCGGAACGAGGGGAAGTGAGACCAACACGAAAACGAGGCACGTTGTTTTACTCGAGCCCTGCCGTCTACCTTTTCTCCTGCACCTCCTCGTCTCCTGTTGTTTTTGGCTGCCGCCCGCGGTGCCAGGGGGGGCGCGCCTGGGCCCCGCCTCTGGCGTGCACGAGGCGAGGTCGGAGTCATTAGGCAGGCCTAGGGTGAGGGTAAAGAGTTCCAGAGCGTGCTCAAAGCCGTTGAATCCATAAGCGGCATAAACACAATAACCATCACTACAAGCAAGCCAAGCAACGCGCATGACACACACATGGATATATACATATACATATATATACACATATGCAGTATGTGTATTTGTATATACATATATGTAGTCACATGTATATTTATATGGACAAAGGCAAATAACACAGCAAACAGCAAGCCGCACACACAATCATTTTCACATGCGCAACACGTCGAATACACAGTACACATTAAACCATAGCGTTCCCGAGCGCTTCAGAACCTGTCGCGGCGCCAGATACTTCCTCCAGAATCGCCAGCTCTCGATGTTCGATCTATCCTCATCCCAGTCGTCCTTATCCCGCCTTCGTCCGCGGTAGAGCGGCAGCAGGCGGCGACGCAACGTTGGATCAGGCTTTGCCCCTCGCCGTCCTCCTCCCCACCGCGGCCGCCTTC